AGGTGAATGATAGTGCTAAATGCAAGCTAAGACATTGATCCAACAAGTTACATGCCCCAACTTTCTTTTGATGAGCAAGGTGAGCACAACCTTCAGCATAGCAAATGGCAAGATTTCCAAGACTGGGCGAGCAATCAGGTTGTTGCTGTTGTTGGTTAAAACAATGGAATTGTAAAGTTGGAAGGAACCCTGAGGGTCATCAACTAAAGCATCCATGACAGATGGCCATCCAGCCTCTGCTTAAAAACCTCCAATGAAGGAGAGTCCACAATGGCCCGACAGAGTCTGCTCCACAGGGTCAGCAAACTTTTTCAGGAGGGCCGGTCCACTGTCCCTGAGGCCTTTATGGGGGACCAGAGTATGTTTTGGGGAAAAAAGAAAAAGAACGAATTCTTATGCCCCACACAAATAACCCAGAGATGCATTTTAAATAAAAGCACACATTCTACTCACATAAAAACACACTGATTCCCAGACCGTCTGCAGGCTGGATTTAGAAGGCGATTGGGCTGGATCTGGCCCCCGGGCCTTAGTTTGCCTACCCATGGTCTAAGAGCTCTTACTGTCAGAAAGTTCTTCCTGATGTTTAATCGGAATCTCCTTTCTTGGAAATTGAATCAATTTGTTTGAGTCCCACCCTCCAGAGCCGGAGAAATCAAGCTTGCTCCCTCTTCCATTTGTCAGCCCTTTAGATATTTGAAGGTGTCTATCATATCTCCTCTCAGTCTCCGGTTTTCCTAGCTTCTTGTATCTTTGTTTTAGATCTTGTGATTTATGTGGAAATTGTTCAGTTTGGTTGTGTATTACTTGATGTTTTATTTCTTGTTTATGACTTTTATTATGTTACAGTTATGTATTTTTTCATGCTGTAAGCTGCCTTGAGCATGGTTTGAATGGTTTCTTATCCATTAAACCCATAAAAAGGACAAAATCTTACCCCACCGATATACTGAAGTGTGTCTTATAGCCAAGCCCTCCTTTTCACATTAGACTAGTAACATGGGAGCTGCTGCAACCGAACTGTCTCCCATGCTGCATAAAATATCACATACAAAGCAGGGCCCTCTAACACCTCGGTTTTTACTGTTAATATGTTATTTGATTCCCTTTTGATCCTTACAGTATATTGGAGAGAAATACCTAGCATGAGAGCAAGTGAAACCAACTCACCGCATTCAGGATTCAATTTACACCATTTAACTCCTGAATTAAATTTAGACAGGGACTAACCATTTCCTGAAATCTGCAAGAATCATAGTTGTACTCCTAATTAAGAATGCTACCAAGTTTAAGCCAAAAGTTCTTGGTGTTGGGTTTTGGTTTTTTGGGAGTGACTTAACAACGTTTGTTTTGTGGTCCACCTGATTCTAGACATCACTGGGATCCTAAGAATGCAATTCTACACAAGTTTACGGGGAATAAGTCCAACTCAAGAGCTTGTTGCTGAGTAGACAAGGCGCAGGACTGCACCATAAAGGGCAGGGATACTGTAGTGCCCACAAACCTGAAAATAATGTGCATTCAGCTGCTACATACAGGCTGAGGCTATACCAGCACAGGCTCTCAGCATTGCACTACACTGCACTGCCACTAGCTCCTGGATTATTCCATGAGAAGATCTGTTATGGGCTCAGAGAGCTTCATTCCTAGATGCAGTCTAGAAAGCAACCTGACTAGAGGCGTCTAACACCTGGCAATCACTGCTGGTGCCCAACAGATTCTTGAGCAGCTTTCTGCTCTTTGACTCCCAACTCCCATGAGTACCAACCAGCATGGCCAACTGTCAGGGATGAGGGTGCTGTAATTAGCAACACCTGGAAAGCAGCAAAACGGGGGAGGCTGATTTAGGAAGGTAACTGATTTAAGTCTGCCTGCTTCTGCTCAATTCTGGAAATGTGTTCCAATTTTGCCGGACTTGTCCCAGAAGAGAACAAATTGCATTTGCCCATTAAGCTTTTGCCCTACTCTTGAAATACACACACGCCAAAGTATAAATACATTTGTTTCTGACAATAAAATAATCAGGTTCAGAATTAAGGAAGGACAGGAAAAGGTGTTACAGAGTACAATACATTCTGGCGTATTCAGCGACTGGGCGTGTAATTAGATCCCCAACTTTTGCTGTTCAATTTTAGAGTTTTAGAGTTATAGAGTTTGAGCGCCGCCAGGGGCAGAGAGCGCACCCCTCCGCTGCCTCTGCCACTGCAGCAGCCCGATGCAAGGCGTTTGGCGGGCAGGTGGGTGAGCGCTGCACTCGGAAGGACTTTCTGCGTCCCCTTCTGTGGGGAGGGAGGAGGAGCGACGGCAGAAGGGGCGCCTCTGCTCACCAGCTCCCTCTCCTCCTTCCCAACGCGTATACCCGGCGTATAAGACGACCCCCAATTTTTGGGGTGATTTTCCAGGGATAAAAAGTCGTCTTGTACGCCGGAACATACGGTACTAGGAACTGTGCTCCAAATACAGCCTATTAGGAGTGTATGACAGGAACCATGGTCCATGATACAATGAAGCAGACAGGTTGCTCGATGACCAACTACACCCCCCCCAAAAAACAGCTGTCTGATACATCCCCATCCAGAGTACAAGAGTGGACCACTTCCAGTGGATCAGAGCAACTTTTAATTGTTAGCATAAAAGCCAAAGTACGGTTGTTTCTTTAGTTAGATCCAGACTGCAACCAACTTACTTTTCAAGGTGGACACCAACGAGGGGAGAACACAGGTTTCCAGTAGGCTTTGCTAGACCCAGGGACACAATGGTCTCGAGTAGCCGATTCACCACTTCAACGTCGTGACGCATGGCAGCGCCATTAATAATGTGGAAAAAGGATGTGGCTGATATAGATTGAATAGGGACATCCTTCTCTTTCATCTCTTTTAAAATGTTAATAGCATCTACAATGAACCACCACAAAAGACCCTTAGGTAATTTCATGTACAGAGAAAACAAACTGCTATTAAAACAGCATTTCAAAAAACCAGCAGGAATGTAAATTCTGGTGTATAATGCCAATTTCAAGTTAATTACTACTTGCATTTCTAAACGAGACTACAATTATGAATCCACAATAGCATGGTTTTATCATTTTGCTGCAACTTTGACTACAAATTACAGATAGGAACTGTGTGCCCACTCTGCACTACGTAACCCTGTAGAGTCTGCCCTATAGCAACAAGATCCTACTAAATGGATGCTTTTATCGTTCAGTGCTAACATCTGCTAAATCACACCATTGTTTCTTCAGCAGATGGCTTGTCACGAGGCCAGATAATAAAGATGTGTTTACACTGTATATACAGCCAGACTAATGGTCTGATACCGATAGGGCCTGTTTGCTGTGTCGATACTAATTAGCCAAGGAGAGCCAATGAAAGCTTTCTAAGAGAGTGCATGTTAAAACATTAGGTTCATTAAGCTTCATTAAGAAGGCAGAAACAAACATTTTGGTATATGGAATAAGTGCATTTTTTTTGGTAATGTTCTTAATTATTGCACAGGCAAAATGTTTTGACCACTTTACATAAAAGCAGGGCTCATCTTTTGAAACTGCCTGCTGCATGCAGCATGCTGTGTGCTTCAGAAAATCAACACAATGCCACCTTTTAATTGCACAGGTAGCCACAATCTGGTTTTATCATGTTTTGGGGTGAAATCTCACTCTAACAAACAATCCAAATCTATTATGACACCCTTTCAATTAAAGGAATTGGAAATAAATTTTCTGTTTAATAGAACAAATGCCAATTATAGTTGGTTAGTCAGAAACAGACTGTTTTTTCCAAACTCTAATTAATGGTGGTGATAGTTTATAAACTTCATTGATTACTAAATACATACCGTTTACACCCAAATGCATTAAATACATTTACAATTAAAGATCTGATTAATTTAACAATATTCTTCAGTTGTTGGTTATAAAATGTTACATTAATAATATATAAAAGGCAAATTTAAGCTCTTAATATTATAATACATTTATTAAAAAGTTAGAGGGTGGCTTTTTTTTCCTGAAGTGCTTAGACCCTTTACAAGGAGGTTATGTTTATAGGCTTTATGCTAAGACTTCAGACCTTCTTAAGCAAAAACAAAGCCATTAGTCTAGGCACATACGCAATTTGTGCCATAAGTCATGATCTTCAAACTCAATCCAAACAGCAATGCTAATAAAAACTAGCTGCAGAAATGCAAAAAGCACTGAGCTGTGCAAATGTAAATGACAAGCTTGCCAATCCATTAAAACTAATGGCCTGCACTGTCCAAGTATCTCTGGTTGAATTCACATGCAAATTTGTATGCAAAATGTTCAAGCACTTTGCAGGACATGATATACCATTAATATCAACTCATATTTTTATTCCGGTGGCAAGATACCTTCATTATATAGCAAAAATATACACTGAAAGAAAGAGCACTTACCTTCTACTCTGCCATATTTGCTCAAAACTTTCACCAAGGCTAAACACTTGCCCGCATCAAGAGCAATAGATGAATCTTTACGAGAACTGGGGTACATATAAAAAAAACTCAATCAACTCCATTTGTGCCAGAATATAATAACCTCACAGCGCAATCATGTAGATGTTTACTTAGAAATCAACCCCACTGTGTGCAATGGGTCTTACTCCTGAGTAATTCAGTGTGCAATTTGGAAGTAAATTTATTTCTGATATATCATGGAGGCATTGGCGCTATGAAAGGATGCGCTGCTTTTTGAAGACATTGGGTTGGAACCACAGTTACATGAGTGGAAGGCCTGGAATGTGGTGTGGGAGCCTGCAATGGGAAGAGGGTATCTGCGAAAATCAGGAGTTACCAGAGCTCCAAAAACATCCAAAGACTTATTTATTCTCTCATTTATTCATTTAAAATGTTTTGCAGGATTTCCGGGTCTCAATCAAATAGGTAAACAAAAATATGAAGAAAGTAAATCTAGGGTGTGTTACCATCAACAAAAAATAATACGTTTGATTCAGATTAAGCAACTCCTTTATTTTATTATATATATGTGTATATATATGTGTATATATATATATATATATATATACACACACACACACACACACACACATTTTCATAAACTTCCATCTCATAAGAAAAAAATCATGGTGGTGTACAAAATATAATAACAAAATCACACTTGTATGTTGGTCCCACATGCATGGGATAAATTAGTCATGAGTGAAGGTAAATCCCATTGATGAAAATGGAAACTAAAGGTACACCATTTAGACTATAATCCTATGGCCATTTACCCAGAAGTAAGCCTGAAAGGACTGAGCTGATTGCCCAAATCCAAACCAATGTCAACCAGTCTTGAAATTTATTCCAAGGCTACCATTTAATACTGATATCATCATCATCATCAAACAGACCACAACTTCCTCAGTACACAAGGAATTATGGAAAGGGATCATTGCTCTTATCTGAAAGGTATTTCTACGTGGTGTTACAATGGATTCAACTGGGTTTGGCTTCCTCTACTGCTCAACCAGTAGGAGCAGCCGAACCCAACTGAGTCCATTATACCACCAAGGAAGAAACTATGTTTCTCCAAAGAAAATTACTTATTGAAATCAACTTGCTTTTGGCATAATGCAACATACCTATTAAACTACTCTGTGCATCCTATAACTCATTACCTTAGTCATAATTACGGTAACAAAAGGATGAAGGGCTGTTTCTGTAGCAGCAGGTGTCTTTTTATAACAAACAGAATGCTAAACTACGTACGATAGCACATTTTCAAGGGCTGCCAAATAGATCATCTTAAATAAATTGAAGGGCCAGTTCCTTCTTGGTAGGAGTTCTGGACTGGTTCTTGAATGTGAATCCATATGAGAACACTGGACCTGTATGGACTGTCTAAGGCATTCATTTGTAGATAATCCAGTGAGCTGAATGCAGCCTGAACAAATGCACTCCACAGGATCATCTATGAGCATACTGAATGAATAGAAGATCCCTTATTTTGAAACATGGCCCAGAATTTGTTCAAGAACACAGAGCTATCGAGGAAACACCTGACTTATGCAACTTGGTAATATAAGGAAGTTGTTTCACAGAAGCTAAAAAGTCTTATTTGCATCTGAGGCCTTCCTTCAGATGAGATAAATAAGTAGAGTTAACAAATATAGAGTTACAGAACTACACACGTGCGCGCACACACACACAAAATATATCTATATATGTCACCTCTACTCATGTGCAACGTAAGCAGGGTTTTGGAACCTGTTTAAAACTGGGTTTTCAAATAAAGTTTAGGAATGTAAGTTCATTTTAGCAACAGGAGAACCCACTGAACCTGCAGAACCCGCACGTATATGTGTGAAATAGAAATATAGAAGTTGAGAGAGAGAAAAAAAATTCACACATGACTGGGCATTGGGAAAATGACTGACTTTCCTGCACCTCACTGTCAGTTGCTAAACTCTCATCAACTGTATATCTACACTGGTCCAACATCATGCCAAAAGAGCAGAAAGAAGCTCCTAAATATGTGATTGTGTGTGTGTGTGTATGTTGTTTTGTTTTCAAATTTACCTTAACAATAAAATTAAAGAAATAAAACTAAAAGACAAGAGGAGAGAAAAAAAAATGGGGATCTGCAAAGTACTTTGCTGACAAACCAGGCATTACAGGTCTTAGCTGGGAGCTAATTTTCACAACCAAGATATTATCTCTGGAAACAGAGACTTTAAAAGGAAATGTTTGCAGACAGGTATTAGGAGCATAATGTCACTTACAAGCGCTGTAACCCGCTATACTGCAGCTACGTTACCCGGCTCAGAAACCAAATCTGAATGCCAAGGTAGCTGCTAAGACCTTATCATAAACTGATTTATTAAAATACAACATAGAGCACCACTAATAAACATGTGTGTTCAGAGTGATTATATAATCGTGACAACTTGTTACAACCAATCTCGAATTTCAGCAAAATATTTTTATCAGGGGAAAAGCTAATTAAAAATGTATGAGGGTTGGGCTGGGGTTTTTTTTGTTGTTTTTTTTTTAAATATTCAACCTACTTAATTCAATAAGGTCTGTGTATCAGCATAAATCTCTTTGACATCTTTCAGGGCCGGTGTACTTACAGTTCTTCTTTAAGGTTCATTGCCTCCTCTGCATTATCATGTCGACAGCACAAATGTATTAAGGCTGCATAGCCACCAACAGACATGTCCGCTTCGTATTTGGCTTTCACTTCAAGGGCTTTCTGAATATTCTAGGAGGAGCATTAAGGAAAAGATATGAACTAAAAGAGAAAAGTCCGCATGACATTTTGCATTCCAGGGCTTTGCTGCGAAACTACATTTATCTATGTATGCATAGCCTGCGTGCTGCTTGTTAAAAGCTCACGTGCTTTACATTTGCAAAAATTACAGTTATTTTAGCAAGTGACCTGAACTTGTCCAATCGAAACCTTTTGTTAGAGGAGCGGTTTATATGCTTTAGTGGACATCTTAGGTAGGCACATAATTACTATTATGATTTCTTCCTAGAATATATGTTAGCATTCGTGTTCGGTTGGAAGTTTTATTTTAACCGTGGGCAAAAGCAGGAACAAAGTGTCCAACTTTTAAAACCAAATAAGAATTCCCATATCCTTTTTAAGGCTATTCCTTAATACATCTTATATTCCTATTAATACATCTTGAACATATGCTTATGAACAGAGATCATGTCAAAAGCTTCCCCTGTCACTCTTCTTATATAGAGTAACAAAATGAAGCGAAACCTCTTCATGGCCTAAATTTCTGCCATTATAGAATACAAGCTATAAGGTTAACCATATTCCAGTTTGCTGTACAATAATGGGCATTATGGCACAGGCACACAAACAAGAAATTGGACCAGAGTCTTGGAATACACAGCAAATTGCAGACCTACACAAAATATGAACTACAGCTGGATGCCTGCTGATGAAGGCAAGAGCCTCTTTATCTCAGAAAGCTTTTCTCCAGCAGGAAAATGGAATTTCAATCCCCGCATTAACCACCTTGTAATATTTGACTTGCAAATGACTATTGCATGTATCAGTTGCTTGACAATCTAGATGTAAGAGACCAGAGCCATGGCTTGAAAGGACATTTGGCATGTATGATAAACCTATCACAGCTGTTACTATCATTCACTTTGCAGATTACTATTAACAGACCAGAGTAATCCCAAAACATGCCATTCAAGAGGTAACTGAAATGAGTTGACTTTTTCCTTTGCTTTAATTGCTTTTTTGTACTTTGATATGATTTACAAGGGCCAAAACCAGAACCCTTGAAACATTATTCTCCCTTGCTTACCAGCACTAAACCCCCACCTGAAACGAAGCCTAAGTACATGCAATTACATTTGCAACCATTCATCTCTGGTTATCTTTACTTGCCTCTCTCTGTCTCCCTCCCACTTTACATCCCACTGCCTTCACATAAGATTTCAAACTCCTTGGAGCCGGGATTTGTCTTTTACTTAGTAACCATTTCCAGAGGGGTGGTCATCTTAGCAGGAAAGGGTCTTACAACACCTTAAAGACAAACCAATGTCAGAAATTGAGGAGGTGGTAGTGAGAGGACAATCTCTGTGGCCACTCCTAGGCTGTGGCATTTTCTGATGTTAAGACACCTAAGATATGTGTTTTCAGGACCACTGCCCCTATTTTTGTGACTGCAATTTGTATTAACCATTCTTAATGTTAAATTTAAAATTGCTGAATCCCCACCCTAGGGAATACTGGTGAAAGGCAGGTAATAATTTTAATAAATAACATCATCATCTTCAATAACAACATGTCTTAAGCTTTTGTGGGCTAGATCTACCTTCATCAAATGCATGTCATGAAGTGGGCTCTTGTCTATGAAAGCATATGTCTTAAATGTTAAGATGCCACAAGGCTCTTCCTTGTTCTTTCACTAGGATTACTCTGTATACTACTACTTCTACTACATTACTTGTACCCCGCACATCTGACCAGGTTGCCCCAGCCATTCTGGTTCACTGCCACGTACATTGATGGGTGTTCTATAGATAAGAGTCACTGTTGTTTATTAAAACGTAACAGTGAATGCTGCAAATTCAACACACAACTCTTTCAGAAGTTACCTCTTCCGCACACAAAGCAAATATAAGCTGCTTCAAAACATCTCCAATAGGCTGGTTCTCAGCTTTCAGTTGTTCCAGTTTCTCCTCCAATTCAGGCACCTGAAGTGCAGGGAACTATGGCAAGAGAATAAGATGTTTACTAAATAAAACATCCCTGAAAACCACTTGAATTAAGAGAGAAAACATGAAGACATGTGCAAGCAAGAACGTAAATTCTCTGCAACTGTTCGAGTCACAGCAAAAATGCATGACAGTTCCTTTATATTTTCAGTCTCCATACAATAGATAGAGAAGGACAACTTAACACCAAATTTGCTGTGGTGCGTCTTCCCTCACTCAGCACGAACATGTGCAATTGCGTTGAGCTTTAAGTGCTTTTACCACAGAACCGTTAAGGCAAATGTTTGTGATTATTCCTAGGACATGCATTGCCCAGAACCTTAAAAAAAATAAAAAAGGTTTCACCATTGAGTGCAGATGCCCCACCCATGTGCCCCACCCTGGTGTACAGGACTTCACATGCACTTTCGATGCAAGTGAGGCCAGGCAAATTTTTTTGCAACTTGCCCTTCCCTGCCCAAAGTGGCAAAAACATAGGCTCATAACCGTCCCTGTGAGCTGCTCTCTTTTCTAAATGGGGAAACTGAGTCACAGCAGCTGCCTCAGGTGTTCAAGCGGGTTTCTGGGAAGGCCAAATATGCAGACGACATATTCAAACTAACAGACATATTATGCTTCTACTGTTATTAACACTGAAGCTAATTCCAGGAAAAGGCTGAAACGTCAGCTGCGTAAGAGAATAGATACCTTGGAAGCAAAGTGTCCTTTTTGTATACAAAAATTATTTGATTACTAGCAAATAAACCTAGATAGCCAGTCCACTTACTTTTGATAATTCTCCGGGCAACAATGCGTCTTTATCAGTCAAGAGAATTACATCCTAGAAGATAATATATATAGTGTAAGAA